TTCCCTACTATATAGTAGTCTAAAAACAGTATGCAACAAAAGAAGTATGTCCGAATTCACAGTACTCATCAAAGAGTAAGCAAAACGTACCCAGATGACCTACTTCTTCCGGCAAGATTCTGAAGTGTGCATTTGATGACGCTAGTAGGTCACGTGCCGTGGTAAGGGCAACATGGCAAATGTAATACGTCCAGATTACAGTCATACTACACATACTTTATAGAACATACTTTTTTAGTGGCCGTGAAGTAATTACTTCAAAATAAGAACCTACTCAAGAGAGTGTGCGATTTCGGACACAGCCTTTGATTTCCATAGAGCCTGGCCTGAGCACTAAACAGACCACGAAATTGTAAACTAATCGCTGTACCAATGAAGCAGTTGTTTCTATGAATCATTGCTCTACGCTTCCTTTTGCAGTGTTCAGCATTCAGAACCCCTCAAAGGTATCCCACAAAACCTAACCTGAACCCTATTACCTCACCCCACTTCCTGCTTCATGGACTGGGAATAGGTCGCACGTTATCGGTTCTCTCTGAACCCGAGGCAAGTAGGACCAGGGTGGTGTTAATGAGAGAAGGGGAAAGGAGACTGAATAAGAGACAGACCCCAATGGGAGGCTTGAGGAAGGACAATGCTGAGCCATTAAGTTCTAATAATCTGTATTTGCTCTGCTATAATGCATGGCACATGGAGAAACCACAAAACTTAATATGCTTATACTGGAAATGAAGACCCATAACTGACTATTACTGTAAGTTAAACCGAGTATCATAATGAGTCATGTCAAATTACGGCAAGGAAATGTAGAAATGTAGGTTGTCCTGTGCTGTCATGTTACTTTTAAGAAAGGGTGAGTAGGGTAAATGCTCTGTTTTATATCTCTAGTGCAGGTTGGATTCAACCCAGAGGTTATGCTAACTTGTGTATCGGCTTTATCTTCCCACTCAGCCCACTAGAGTGCTGCAATGGTACAAGATGTAATCATCTGAGTCCTGACAATATACACAAACATAGAGCATATGGAAACCTAAGCATATCAATGCAAACTGCCTCACTGCAGTGGTCAGCCAATTTTTGACAATACCTCAGGCTAAAAAACTTGGGCAATTGTTGACTGGAAAATGTCATGACAGTTTCACAATTGAAAGTAACGTAACCAGCTCTTGGACAGACATGATGGTCAAGCAGCAAGCCCAGTTTTAAGACAATACACTTCATTTAGATCTCAATCCCTCATCAACAGTTGAATAATACAAATTAAAGCCCAAGAGGGTCCTTCTTCAGCTGAGGTAATGTTTTTTGTGTTGGCAAGAAGCAGAATGTTAAATGTAGAAGTAGAATGTAGAAAGTAGAATGAGGGACCTCTCCATAAACCACTGTGGCATGACTGGATGGATATCCACTGGACGGATAATGTTTCATTTGTTAAACAAAAAAAATGTATCACAACATGTGATAGTTGTGTTACAAGCTACCAGGCTGATATGAAGGCTTATGTGAAAGAAAAAACTCATCATTAAGCCAATGTTTGTCTAAATGGACATTTTCTGGCCAGAAGAAGCTGACAAATTGGCATATACCAGACTTTAAGTAGATAGCCAAAAAAAAATATATTTATCACCTTCCCCCTGTGGAATAAACATGCCAGGTGATCCACTACATCATCCAAAAAAAAAAAAAAAAAAACACCCTCAAGTTTCTTGGGTGACCGTTTTTAGAGGGCCTTTCGCTTGTAGCTGTCCTACAGTACAATTTTAATTATTCAACCATAAGAAATGTAAAAAAAAAGTAGATTTCATCCAGTTTATATCCTTATCTTTAACATGATTAAGCTATACCAACAAAACATAACTTTTTAAAATCTTTCAGTATTTATTCTGTGGCTCAGTTGGAAGGCATTTACAATGCTGTTGTCCTTTGGCTGAACCAAATTATATGACAATGAGTTTAGGTCAATGTAAATTTGACCACACTATTCCCTAATGAAGCCATGATTGTTCTTTGCCTCTGATGGCCCTGGCCAAAGATCTCCCAGACTGACCCTTCCTTAATGACAGAGTTTCAACACAATAAGTAGACCCACACCAATCAGATCTTTATCTTCGATGGGCAACAATTTGTGTGAGTAGATGTTTGAACAGCTGAGATGTGAGTGTATTTTGGCACAAACACTAGGTCAAATTTACCATCTATTCCTCATTTCATGGGCCAACTCTTTAAAACAAAAATGCAAATCTTTAATTCAAAAAGCATTGAATAACATGTCAATTTTGAAGAACAATGATTGTAATAAAGTTTGCTTCATTGTGGATGTCTCAAATGACCCATTTAACTGTGTGGTTTTGAGACCAGAAACCATAACCACACACTGTGGGCCAGGAAGACCACACGCCCTCTACACTACGCCAATGCTGTGGGTGGCACTTTAGTGCTGTGGAAACTAAACAGTCATTGGTATGTGTGTGTGTGAATATTCTTTTAAAGGCAAAAAAGGACTGCTTCGCTAATTAAAACAATGGCAATGAGGTGCAGGGCCTGGAAAGCACTGAATCATGGGGAATATGATGGTTTTATATCTTCCATGACTCATCATTGTTTTCTATTGCGTAATCAAACATAGCACACGGTGACGGTGACTTTGCCAACTAGGACATGTTCCTGGATCAACATCTGTTGTTGGTCCTGGAACAATATTCTTGTCAAACAAACACAGCCATAACCCTAACAATGAATTACTCCTGTCTTAAGGCGGTCGCACACCGGACGAGAAGCGCAGCGCCGCGTCTAGGACAACTCACAGCTATCGCACGCCGGACGCACACATTCTATTGTCAGTTTGTGGTCAACAATATTGTTATGTTTAAGGACATTTTGAAATTTAGATAATGCACAATTAAATACTGTATCGTTGTTATCGTCAGTTAACTGAACATTTTACCTCAGGGCGTACCATAATTGAGAATCTCACAAGAAAATCCAGTAACATCAGCAATCTTCCTCCACGCTGATTTCAGCATTTTCGTCTTTAAATATTCTCCGATTTCTGGCGTATAATTCAGGGTATTTCCCTACTTCATTGAGTTTTTAGTCGTCCATTTAGTTATAGTTATCGCTACGCTCAGTGGTGGAGGAAGTACTGAATCTCAGTACTTAAGTAAAAGTACAAATAACCAGAGACATATTTACTTTAGTAAAAGTAGAAGCACCACAATGACAACCCTACTTAAGTAAAAAGTAAAAAGTACCTGATTTTAAATGTACTTTAAGTATTAAAAGTAAAAGTACTTGCATAACAATTTATTCTCTTAATGTCTATATTCTAATGATTAATAAAACAGTTAATTCTAACTCATTCAACCCAATACTCATATAATGATGTTCAATACGATGGAAAAGCAGTTATATTTTAAGTTTTTGTCACCATTTCTGAACAAGCTTACAATTAGGCAATATACACATCAAGCTTACTATATACCCTTACTATATACGGTATATATATATATATATATATAAACACACATATTATGTTAAAACGCCGTATATGAAGGCGTTTGGCTGTAAACGCGATTCATTTATGGCGTAATTCTGAACCTCTTGGCTTGCCATACTAATCCTAACCAAACGTATGATACACACGCACCCCACATCACTACTAAACCTACCAATGCGTTTCCTATGCATGTAAAAACTAATTTTCGCGTATAAATTGCACGATAAACACACTGCGTGCTATAGAGACGCATTTAGTGTGACCGGGTTGATATATCTATGGCAACCAAACTTCACTGGTGAGACAAACGTGCGATGAACGGACGGTCAGGATGACGTTTTGGCAGGGGAAAAACTGATCAGAAAATTTAACGAAAATGTAACAATGTTGTAGAAATGTAGTGGAGTAGAAAGTATAATAATTGCTGCAAAATGTAATGAAGTAAAAGTAAAAAGTATGCACCATTGATTCTACTTAAGTAAAGTACAGATACGTGAAAAATGTACTTAAGTAAAGTAACGAAGTATTTGTACTTCGTTACATTCCACCACTGGCTACGCTACCCTATGCTGTTGAAATAACTCTAAAGTGTGTTGTGACCTATACCTCCAATAGGTGAAGGCACACAACAGAGAATGTAATCACGACAGGCAAACATACAGTACCGGTATATACTTTTGCACTCAGGTTAGTGTATGGAAAAAAATGGCACAACAGAGCAAAATGAAAGATTAGAAAGGGCTACATTTATTAGGCCTATACATTTTTCCAACATATGTTTAGACTTTATTCAAGCTGTAAAATTATGAATGTAAAACTAAATGTATCAGTATGTACAACATAAATGACGAATTGAGACAAATAAAATGCGATATCATAGAAAACTGTTAGTGGCACTCTGTGGTGTGGCAAGATTTTGAATAGCGTCCTGAGTCCTAGCTGGGTGCCACTGACAGACAAGCTGAAAATAGAATGTGCGCGCCCGGTGTGTGATACCTGTGAGTTGTCCTAGACGCGGCGCTGTGCTTTTCGTCCGCTGTGCGACCATTTTGAGAAGCATCAGCAAACCAAACACAGTTGCTTTTCACATAACATATGCAATTACTTATGCATTGTGATACAGCCTGGTTCGTTGGTCCATTATGTCGGTTTGCTTTCTCACCACAAGCAAACTGCTCAAGAGTTTGTTTTCAAGCGGACTGAGACATTCTTGTTCAGGCGATCTCAGACCGATTTCCTTGGTGTGAATTCAAGCGCGATTGCTGAGTTTAAACATGCCTAAACGAACCGAACTAACGAAGAAAATATGCCAGTGTGAAAATGCCCAAACACACCGTATCTAGTTAGGACACAATGTGACTGTTAAGTTCCTTTGTACTCTGCCTAAAACCTTTTAAGAATGTAAAATCACCATGACCCAGAGCACAAAGTATTTTGTGAAGTCTATGCTATTTTAGTCACCTACCGTGAACCCTCCCACCCCCAGGACCCTGTGTCGAACCCCTACCTGTCAGTACGCTGCAGGTGATGGCCTCAGTGTGTTGGGCCAGGAGTTCAGCTTTCGCAATGGCAGCCAGTGACAAGTAGCTGGACATGTTTCTACTCAGCTCTTGGTTCCCTTGCTGCAAGAACCGCACCGCCACAGGGACCGCTAACACCATCACTGGAGGCCTGTTGTAATTCTGAAAAAAATAAAAAAAATAACCTCAAATTTAGACCTGCATCTCAGGTCACAGATTAATTGTATACGGTTTATTAGTTACGACCTTTACAAACTATTTTAAAGAACGTTCCACACCGCGCAGACTGAATTGAAATGCTCAATTAGAAGTTTAATTTAATTAAGTAAAAATCAATATATCAGCATGTGCTAATTCCAAATAGCGTATGCCAAGATCAATCAATAAAGACTTTAATAGATTCAGAGAATTATTACATAAGGGTTAGCTGGCTGCTGCTTAGTTAATTACATAAATAAGAGATACTATATAAGGTATCTCTTTAATAATAAGAGATTCTAATAATTTAATAATAAGAGATACTATATAAAGCATGAAAGGCAGCAGTAAACATTTCAAAGGATCAAACTGAAGCCTGCCACAGAAAGTAGGTTATGTTAAATGTTCTGCTGCCCCCTAGAGAAGATGATGTGAACATGTCAGGTTGAAACAGATGAAACATCAGTTGGATAAGTGATTCATCGAATGAAATGAGAAGTTATTTTATTATAAAGGTTCAAGTTTTACACAACCACACCACAATTTGATACATTTGGTCAAAATAAAAATAATAAGATTCATTATGTTTAAATATCACTAGTTTGAATGCCATAATTAGTTCATTATTTAATTTATCTAGTATCATAATTTAACGTCTACTGCATGCTATGAATATGAATTTCATTTCTTCTGGAGCAAATTAAGAGATTTATTTTCCTTTACTGTAAAAAAAGATAGCCATTCATCTTCTTGCCTGAAGGGAAAAGGTCCTTAAATATCGGAAATAAAACTTTAAAAAGCATGACATAGGGCAAATAACTTCCAAAGAACCCAAGCTAATTATAAAACAGCCACTTGAATATGTGACTGCTGCTCAGATCAAAGAGCCTTTCCACAAATAGTTCTGAAGAACTCAGGCATAAGACCGTTCAAGCTGCAGTTCTCTAATGAATACTGATCTCTACCACTACCCAGAATGCATCACTCTAGATCAGCCTCTCTCTAAGCCCTTCTCTAAGATTCATATGCGGCTCATTGTGTAAGTGAATGCATGCATGTGTGTGTGTGTGTGTGTGTGTGTGTGTGTGTGTGTGTGTGTGTGTGTGTGTCTGTGTGTCTGTGTGTGAAAGAGACAAATACAAAAACAAGAGGGAAAGTCGAGAGAGAGAGAGAGAGAGAGAGAGAGAGAGAGAGAGAGAGAGAGAGAGAGAGAGAGAGAGAGAGAGAGAGAGAGAGAGAGAGAGGATGTGAGAATGAGACAGTAAAGCAAATATTAAGAAGCAGCTAATTAATTAGCAGGCTAATTGCTGTTGTCAGGCGTGTCAGTTCCATTTTAAGACATGCCACTTGACTCCCTGAGAATGTTATTATTGCTTCATAACTGACAAAGCTGGTTTAAATATGGACCCTTTCACATTTCCAGGGTTCTCGGAAGCAGTTGTCGTCATAGTTGGGTAAAAATCTATGGTGGTGAACGAGTTTTCATTTGCTCCAATAGCAAAAAAAAATAAAAAAAAATACAGCATTTCCACAACTTTCCAAAAAAGAGAGAATGATGATGAATTTATTATCACTCTTTCGGCAGCTGAATTAGAAACACCCTAGTGGCACTAGCTCTTTTTAATTCAATACCAAGGTAATATAAGACAAAGTATCGTGTAAAGGGTAGGTTATTTAAAAAAATATATATATATATATATATATATATAATAGATTAGATTGATTTCAGTTATCTAAAAAGATATGGACAAAAACACTTTCTTTGAAAAACTAAAATCTAAATGTTTATTGTACTGAATTCCTACTGGTATGTAACTTGCATAATAATTTGGAACACAGTGTAGCGGTATCCCCATAGAAAAGATCTATGAATGACATTGGTCAGATTACAAAATATCAAACAAAGCAGAAAATCTGCAAGCAAATGATATTATAGCTTTTGTCATACTGCATTACAATCAGTTGGGGATTTCTGAAGTGTGATGGAACACCACTTGAATAGGGATGTGCCTGAAGCCAAATTCGGAAAGGCATGGAAAATGAATAACGCTTTCTGAGCGTCATTGAACAATATCTTATCTTGTAAAATGTGTGGTCAGTACCGCTATTCCCTATACACAGTTAAGAATATATATTTGCGGTATAAGTACCAAAAACCATCTCAATATGTTTTTACAGCTCCTTTCTCAGGAGCTCTGCTAAGAACAGGTCGATTTTGGCCTGTCTAATTAATATTCATGAGCCTCTCTTCTGATTGGTCTGTTGTTTTCTGAGTGACGCATGGCTAGGCCAACCACAGGTAACTAGGGTAATGTATGCTGTAGCCTGCTGTGGCTTGGGGATGCTCACAAGTAAGGTAAATAAAACACCTGTAATGATGGACATTGCTGAGGGAAATGTTATTTCGGCCTTATATGTTCGAGCCGGACTCAGACCCCTAATCGGCGACGACAGGAGACAACCAACCACCTCCTCAAACACGCTTACAAAAGGATATTTCAGAATAGTAATTAATGTTTGTTTTTTTACTTTCGGCATTGTAAGAGTATTATCATTACTATTACATCAATGCTGCACGCAGATTTAACATTAACGCTAATTTAAACTGTCTGTAAACAAACTCAGACTTTTTGAATAACGTTACCCTTGCAAGTACACTAAACGTTAGTTTCTGTTAGCAAAACAAAAGACACAGAGACTGAGTGAACTCAATCTCAATGCCTTTAACTCAATCACCAACAGGGCCGGTGTCTGTAACTTAGGAAAACAAACAACGTATTTTGTCTTGTTTCCAACAGATATTCTATCAAAGCTTGTGGTAACTATAGACTGTACAAAACAACATGTCAGCATCAACTTAGCAACATGTTAGTGTTGCATATTCGTTTACAAATTATAATTTCAGGTTATGCTGGCTCCAATGTAAGTTTATTTACGGGTTGCGAATTTGAGGTCGGACCCAACAATGTAGGGACTGTAGCATCTTCGATGAGTAGCTTCTTTGAAAAACCGGCATTGAACTGTGCCTGATTGAATAAGCAGTCACTTGTGAAATGTGCAGAACAGATGGTTAAGGTCGACTTAAATTGCTGTGGTATTTTTGGATAAATAAACATTAGCCACTGGTCTTTTATATTAATGTTGTTCGGAAGCCTGTGCAATGATGTAGTTTCCTGACATCCATCGACTGAACACCGTTTACTCGACATGTTTCTGTGTTGTTGTTGCCCAGCAATTGCATGGACGGGATGTTGCCTGGGGGTTGGGCAAAAGGAGGGAGGGACGGTGACTGAGTAGTTCTGACGTCAAACTTTTACGGAAGTCACAACGGCTCGTGAAAAGGCACAGCTACTTTACGCAGGCTGTGTGCATTTTTCTGTGGATTTAATGTTTTGAAACTTATATGGTAGTTACATATACGGTGGCCGAGAGAGCTCAACGCGCTGTAACTGAAGAAAACACCCGCAAAATAGAAAAACACCCGCAAATTAAGAAAACATCTTCATCAACACATGTGTGCTCCAAATACTCACAACACAATCAAATACAGAGAAGCGCTGCAAAAGTTCACAACACAACCAAATACAGAAACGCGCTGCAAATAGCACAGAACACAACGGAAATGTTTCCAGAGGACCCCAATAAGTGACGAACCCGGCTTCAGGTACTCTGAACATTCAATACATTCTGATCTTTTGAATGTTTTAAAAACTTTTTTTTTCTTGGTTAAGCAAAAGGTAAGGGAACATTCCTTTTTATTATTTTGCAAACATTATGAGAATGTTACTTTTGACTAAAACTAAAACGTTTCAGAAAAAGACGTTCCGTGATTAATATATAGACAATGTTCTTGTGCTAACGTTTTTGGAATATTATTAAAGACCAGATAACTTTGAACAAACACACTATTAATGTTACTGGAATAATGTTTACTATTGCTAACAGGAAGATACTGTTGTGTTTATAAATGTACAGAAATCATTAGTGTGCTTTAGCACTTAAGCGTTACTCTCACCTGCAAGATGCAGCTGGTGATGTCGGAGGCAATCTTGGCATGAGGTGTGTCTTCATCTTTGCCCTGCGGCTGGAGGTTATGTTCAAGACATGACTCCCATAAGGACACAAGAGATGCTCCATGCCTCTCAATCGAGCCTGTCTCCCTGATCGCTGTAGTGATGCGTGTAATGCAGATCTCCACCACCGCCTGGTCATTGTCATTGGTCAGGTAGTCCTGTAACAAATCACATAACTGAATAAAAGAGTGTGCATTTAAGGCTCTGTTACATTAAAAAAAGAGTTCAAAGACTTGTAGAATCAAGATAAAATGCCCTGGTTGCTTCAGCAAATTTGCTTTTATCTCACGTTTGCTTTTGTTAACACTATCAGTTAGGTTCAGTTAGGGTAGGGTTTAGTGTAGGTGGTACGTCATTTTCAAATGCGAAGGAGCATTTGAAAGCATTTGAAGGAGCAAGTGCTGCAGTACAAAATAAGATCAAAGTTCTTAGTTTCCTCCATTTCTGAAGTATTTGATTTATTTCAGAATCCAGTGAATAGGCCACGTCTGGTCTTGACACGTCTGGTCTTTGTTTTGCTTGAGTTGGATTTTGAGTTAGTTTTGCAATGTTATCAGTTCAGTTTCCTGTGTTTTCTGCTCTTTTGTTGCCATGGTTTTTGTTTTGCCATTAAGTGTCACACCTGTGTCTTGTTAATCTTAAGCACTATTCAGACGGTAATTGTTTCTCAAAGGGACGTAAGGTATTTTCAACATTTATAGGGGCTAGTCAGTGATTTTATTGCCGTCCGAATCCAGAATCTCAGTGTTTTTCTCCCACCGCATAAAAATCCTCGGCCAAATTACCTACTGTTTTTTGACAAACACTAAGGTTGTGAGGTAATTTAATTGCTGTTCAAATCCACATCTCTGAGTTTACAAGAGGAGATCAATTCAAAATGCACTGTTTAAATCCTTTTTGACCACTGCGCAACACCGTACAATAACTGTTGCACTTCAGGTAATTTGCATGCATTTTAAAGTTGTACACTTTTATTACCGAAATGCTGGAACAGCTTATGTTTACCTCATGTAATTAAGAGTCTGCATTAACTTATTTCCACATATATTAAAAATGATATTAATTTTGAGAAAAATGCAGGGCAGATATAATAATCTATCTTACTATTTTTAAACAGGAGATTTAAATAATCAAATAATAATAATAATAAGACATTATTTCCCTATTATTGTCATGGATTCCACCTCAGCACCAGGTCCACGAATTCTAACCAGTTGCATCTGTCATCACTTGATTACCTCCCCTACAAATACTCACCAGGCACACTCACCGGTTGATCTCCACATGAGATCTGGCTGACTCCTACTTACCTGCTTGCTCACCTTCTTCCTGCTGCACACTTCCCTGGACCGAAAAGGCCATGGATGAATACATCAAATAAACCCTGGAACAAGGATTCTTTCAACCATCTACAGGTACCTCTCCTGCCGCTTTGAGCTTCTTCTTCTACGTGGCCAAAAAGGATGAAGGCTTGCGGCAATGCATTTACTACAGGGCTCTCACTGATCAAATCATCAAGTACCGCTATACTCTTCCCCTGGTCCCATCAACCCTGGAACAACTGAGAGGCGACCCGCATCTTTTCCAAGCTGGACCTGCACAGCGCCAATAATCTTATCCAAATTAGAAAAGATGATGGATGGAAGACCGCCGCCTTAACACCGTCTGGCCACTATGAGTACCGAATTATGCCGTACAGGCTGGCTAACTCACTGTCTGTGTTCCATGCTTTCATGGATGAGTTGTTCCAAGACATGCTCCAGCAATTCAGTATCATCTACATCAATGATATTCTAATGTACTCTCGGAATCTGGCTGAACACCACAGACACGTTGTGCAGGTCCTTCAACGTCTCAGGAAAAAACCATCTTTACCTGAAATTGGAAAAGTGCGAATTCCATCTTCCCTCCATCCAATTCCTTGGTTACATCATTGATGGATCAAACGTTCAGATGGACCAGGGGAAAGTCACTGCCGTTAAGGTCTGGCCACAACCCACCACCGTTGAGGAATTTCAACGCTTCCTAGGATTTGCCCATATCTATCGAAAGTTTGTCGCTAATTTTAGTCAAATCGCTGCACCATTAACCACAATTCTCCGAAACCGGCCCAAGTCTCTATCCTGGAATCCAGCGGCCACCAGCGCCTTCCAACAGCTGAAGAATGCCTTTTGATCTGCTCCCATCCTTAAACATCCTGATTCTGACTTACCCTTTCGCTACAGCCACCCGAGGGCTGCACGTATACCATCAACTTTACGTGTTACCCTCATGGACTCGTCTCCGGGATGAGGGCATCCAGGTTACCAGAAAACACTCTCGCTCTGACCCAGAACGCATAACGATTGGTCAGAGGCTGTTTCCAGAACCCCGAGACACCTTCCAGAAGGCAAGCTGCAACGATTGCCGATTCCCAATAGACACTGAGGTGAGACACCTTGGCATCGACTTCGTCACTGACTTACCTCCTTCTGACACCAACACATGCATCCTGGTTGTAGTTGACCATTTCTCTAAGGCCTGTAAGCTCATCCCATTTAAAGGTTTACCATCCGCTCTGGAGACTGCAGAGGCATTATTTCACCATGTGTTTCGTAACTATGGACTGCCAGAAGACATTATGTCGGTTAGTTGGTCACAGTTTACTTCATGTGTGTGGAAAGCCTTCTTACATCTGCTCGGTGTGTCTGTAAGCTTGTCTTCAGCATATCACCCTCAGACAAATGGCCAAACGGAGCGCATGATCCAGGAAATCGGATATTACCTACGGTCATACTGCCACAACCACCAACACAGCTGAAGCTACTGGTTCCAGGAAAGCGAGAGGGTGTGGGACTCAGCTCACATCCACCTTCAGAGGGCAGTACGGAGACATACGTAAGAGCCAGGTCGATGCAAGAAGAGCAGCGACACCCATGTACCATCCAGGGCAGAAGGTCTGGTTCTCTACCAGGGACATCTGTCTCTGGCTGCCTTCCAGCAAGCTGTCCCCGATTCATTGGACCATTCACCGGCAAATCAATGACGTCACGTATCGTTTAAACCTACCTTCTGAATATAAGATTGCTCCTACCTTCCATGCGTCTCTGCTTAAACCTCACATGCATCTCTTCTCCCTTCCTACACAGGGCCTGGTGCTGATGAAATACCTTCTCCTCCCATAGAAGCAGACGACAACCACATCTACACCGTCCACTCCATTCAGGATTCCCACATGGGTCCCACATGATGATATACTGGATCCTACTCTTTCACCAAATTGCACACTGCCCATTCAGAACACCCAGTACCTCGGGGCAGGGGCCGCCGTGCCTGGTTATCAGGAGCTGTCCGTGAAGGGGGGGTTCTGTCATGGATTCCACCAACATGTCCACCAAGTCCTTCAGCTCCAATCACCCACATACTCACCAGCCACACTCCCTCACTCCCGTCTAGTCGATCTTGAGAACACTTATGCCTGACTCCTGCTTACCTTCTTGCTCACCTTCCTGCTACATGCTTCCCTGAACCGAAGTTTCCCAACTCATCCGTGTGCTTCATCATCAACCTGCAAAAGAGAGAAAGATCCATGAGCTAAGTGTGACTATCTGCAACCTGTCTCCAAATAACTCCTGATTGTCTGCTGTTCATTCGATCTTCTACCCATTTAATAAAGATCCTGCTCAACGATACCCAGGTTCCTTCTCCTGTTTATCTGTGACAATTATTAAATTAAATATGAATTTATTCTTATCATTCCAAGCATATGACATTTTATTTACAGCAGACAATCATGTGACTGACCAGGTGATCAGACCGTTTCCGGGTTCATTGAATCACAAAACTCACTCCTTTTTGCAACCCCTCGCTGACAATTCGTGATATTTAAAACATTATGGTTTGATTGACATTCATACACTGACTATTAAGCAACAGTTTGTATACTAATTGTGTGCTATACAGTATTTGCATGCAAACAGCTTCATTTTAGATTTCTGAAAACATGAGGTATCATTAAGCAAGAAAGTTTGGATCTTTGTGGTGTGGCATGTTTGGAATGATAATGTTATGCACGTGACTGTGGAAAGGAGGACAGTGTAGGCCCTGGAGAGAGAAATACAAGAGAAGAGAGAATGAGACGAAGAGAGAACGAGTACCCCTGAGACGCTGGATGAGCCCAAATCTGTTTACAAAAGCCAGCCAGAACACAGAAGCCCAATAAGGCAAGAAGAACTGGCTTTAGCACGCTCAGTGTCCCTAACATTCCTTTAGAAGTAATTTTAATTTTTACTCATTTTAATTTTAAAAAACACTGAGGAAATGAGGGGTCACCTTATTCAAATTATTCAGATATGCAGTGCTGACAGGGTCAATGATCAACTAAAACATGCCATATGCTCTCTAACTTCACTTTAACAGCATATCATCAACCAGGCCTGTCAATATGACTATAAAATAATAATATATAGTAGTAGTAGTAGTATCATCAGCATCTAAATGATAAAAGATCAAAACAGATAAAGAAATATATCACTATTGCAACAATACTATTGAAGTGTAAAATAATTAATACAATTAATTAAAAATGAGTATTTAATAATAATACTAATTTATTTTACAGAAGAATAGTAAAATTGTTGAGTTGTCGAGTGTTTATTTTGGATCATTTAAATTAACTGTAATGTACACTTGTGTATGTGTACAGTACATCATGGTAGAATTTGCTGTTTTATCTTTGACCAGATTGAATCATTGCAGTAAGTTTTTAGCAATAAAGCCAAATGAATTTTCAAAGGTGCATGTACTTTCATTGTCATTTTCACAATAACAACAAAACAACAAATTGATTTATTTTAGTTTAACTAAATATTTCTTGAATTACCTTTTTAATAATTTAATTCCAGGCTTTCATCTTGTGCGCAAGATTAACAGATGGTTTATTACGGAGCCCCTAAACGGACCCTTGCAAAAAAAAAAAAAAAATGACAGACTTTCGGATAGACTATTTTGCATGCTCACTGGAAACTATTGCGTGCTCAAGAGAAACTATTGCGTGCACACGAGAAACGTTTCACGTGTGCACGGGAAATTTAATGTGTGCTCATGTCATGAGTTATAATTTCCTGTTTATATATACTATAACCTATTTCCCTTGTGCGCCACAGCCAATTTATAACCTATGAGTGTGTGTAGCATGAATGCAATCTGCACTACTACATTCGCCATGATGTCACTATCATGTGACCTACCAGCATCAGCTGCATCGCTTCACTGGCATTCATAAATCCTCTCTTATGGCCTCATAGGATAGTAAAGTGTACATCGCAGCACACACTTCAGAATCTCGCAGGAAGCAGTAGTTCATCCGGGTATTTTTGCCTACTATGAGTACTGTGAATTCAGACGTACTTTTGTTTTTCGCCTACTACCGGTATATAGTAGTGGTGGGCATATTGAGGCTTCATGGAACACTGAAACAGTTATAAATATTGTGTCGACGCTTCGAAACAATCTGACACCCGTCTCCACGGTGACCCCTAGTGGTCAGAACAGTGTAAATGCAACAAAAACCCAGGCCAAACATGCATACAAAAATCCCCATTTACAAATCTATTGCAAATTTTTTATTAAAAATAAAATCTTTCAAATGCAATTATCTAATCATCCAATAAGATTATCAAGTGTCTATATGTTCTTTGATCAATTGTCAGGGTTTGTTTAGTTTGTTCTATGAATGGCTCAGCTAAACAGGCCAATGTATTAACTACCATTATTAATTTTAATTATATTAATGTCTAATTAAAATGTCTACAAATTTATAAAACTGATCAGAGATCAGGTAAAACCCACTGTTCATTGGTTCTCAGTGACTCCTCATTAATCATGGGTTGACAGAGATCAAATTTTGAAGTGTTTCAAAACAGTTATGACGTAATGAAGCCTCGTTTACTGAAATGACGTGACTCTGGCAGTTTGAACGCTCCGCACCATTGACTTGAAACAAAAGATTTGTAAAGGTTTCGAAGCTTCATGAAGCAGTGTTTTGAAATTGCCATCACTACTATATAGTAAGGAAGTATGCGAATTCGGATGTAGCCAAAGACTTAACAAGACACACCTGAAAGCAATGAACAATTAACTAATGAGAACGTGACACATAGACAAGGGAACCAATCAGAATATGACACAAGAGACTAGGGACCATAGACATAATAAATACATAGACGCCCTATTGGCCGCTGGAGCGTACGTCAACGGCGCCGCCATGTTGGGGATGGCAACTTTCCCATACCTCTCATACCGGGAATTGAGAAAAATGCCTGTTTTGTGCGCTGCTTGGGGCTGTACACATCGCCACACAATTGAAAACAGCTTTTCGAGGAATTACCTTTCACAAGCAAGACTGAACGTTTGTTTTTGGTTGTATTTGGTCATGATTTAATTAGTAATAGTAACGTTCAGAGGTTACATTTAAAAATACTACTGTTATTGTGTCACGAAATGTAGTTTTAATAGTTATTCAGTCGACAATGTAGTTGTTTGAAGCTCAAATCTGTGGTTTGTTTATAAAGATAGCGCCTATTTAAAAATTTGATCTGACGTTTTCGGAGTTGTAAGATGCTATCACCGGGGCTCAGCGCTCGTCTACCCCGCCAGGAACAGCCGTACCTCGGCCAGTGCTTCTGAAGTTTTGCCGCTGACTCGGATGTCTGTAGTCTAGTGGTTAAACATGAGATATAATTCGTCTTGTGTATATCTAATGGGCGATCTTTGGTCTCATTAATCTATAAATGGTTCCCTGGTAAATCGTTTTGGCTGAGGGCAAAGTGAAGTTTCATAACTTTATATTTAGGCTATTTTAACGTTGTATCCTGCTGTATGTTTGACTGAAGCTACTTCTGTTATAATGGCTATTACTGATCAATAAAACTGAAATTTAACAAAAAGAGTTAAATATTAAAATGTCACTATTTAACTTATTTTTATTGTATATACTCTGTAATTGATATTTCTTATTATATTGCTATTATTGTAGTATTATTAATAAACTATATGCTATTATCAATATTTTTATGATTGTATTATTGTACTTATGATATTAAATAATTATACTATTCATTACTATTTTATTTGCTGTATACTATTTGTTTATTTTATTGACTAAACTATTTACTATTACTTCTCACTTTATGTTATATTTACTATTTGCATTGCACTGTAGTTGTACCGTAACATATGTATTATCATAAAGGATCCATCAGTTATCTTTGTTATTGCTAAAATCTGATCAATCACAAAAAATGCTTTTTCCACAATAAGAAAACTTAAAATTATATCTCAGTATGGGGGTCTTCACCATTCTTATCCAAGAATAAAAAGCCAAATACATGACAAGCCTGAGCTTTGACCATTCTTTATAAAAAAAAAATATTTTACAAGTCTAACTATCGAGATTTTAAATAACTAGAGATGGAACTTTTTGTACAACCTGTAACAATATAATTGTCATAATGTGGGTCTTGTGTCCTGTCATGTTTAGTGTCATTAGTGTCTTGTCATTAGTTGTCCCAGGTGTTTCTTGTTATCCACGCCCCCTTGTTATCCTGTCTGCTCGTTTGTCTCTGATTATTTAAGCCCTGTGTTTCTGCCCTGTCTTTGTCAGTTATTGAATGTATGAATGTATTTACGAGTGTCTTGCCTGTTCTGAGTTTTCCCTAGTTTGTATTATTAAAGTCTGCTGCTGCATTTAGATCCGACTACCGCCTTTGCTTCCACGCAATTCATGACAGAATAACTGACCACCAGGATCTAGCAGTAGTACCCGGGAACCACCGACCGTAAAACAAGAGGTATGATGATGGAGGACGGATTCTACCAGAATGGACGGTCGCTTGAGGAGTACGTGGGGGCTTATCTAGAGTTTTATCATGAGACAAATTTGAGTGAGGAAACACTCAAGTATAATTTCTGGAGTGGGATGGACGACACGCTCGGCGCAATGCTTCTGTTAGATGCGGAACACCTCTCTTTTGTGCAGTTCCTGGACCGAGCGTTGTGGGTGTGCGGTTCGTCACTCACTGTAGGACTCGCTGAGGAGATCAGCTGTGTTCCCAAACCAGGGCATTCCGTCAAGACCGTTCCAGGTAATTCCAAGCACAGTTCACGTAAGAGAGTTTCCAACCGAGCTCTGAGAAAGCCCGTTCGCCGCATCCGCACTGCCGACACCGCGCTCCACAAGCCTGCAACTCACGTCTGTCCAGCCGAACCCGCGCTTCACGTGAGCCAAGTCGAGCCTGCTTTTCACGACATGCCTGAGCTTCTTCCCGCCGAGACCGACATGCCTGAGTTTCTGTCTTCCGAGCCCGCGACTGACGTCTGCCCAGCCGAACCCGCGGTTCACGAGTCAAGTCCCGAGTCAAGTCCCGAGTCGAATCCCGAGTCGAATCCCGAGTCAAGTGAACCGAATCGAATCCCGAGTCAAGTGAACCGAATCCCGAGTCAAGTGAACCGAATCCCGAGTCAAGTGAACCGAATCCCGAGTCAAGTGTCGTGTCAAGTGAGTCAAGTGCCAAGTCAAGTGCTGAATCTAGCCAAGTTAGAGTATCAAGCCCAGTGACTCGCCATCGCAGGAGGAGAAGGAGGACTCGTTTGGTTCGCCAGGCTCCGGTGGGCGTTCCCAGACGCCTCGCCCTGCCGGCCCCGCCTGTGCGCCTCGCCCTGCCGGCCCCGCCTGTGCGCCTCGCCCTGCCGGCCCCGCCTCTGCGCCTCGCCCTGCCGGTCCCGTCTCTGCTCTTCGCCCTGCCTATATCTATCAAGCTCCATGAGACTGTTCCAGAGCCCGTTGCCAGCCCGGAGGTTGTCCCCCTAGGTTTTCCCAAGTATTTTTTGGGGGGGGGGCCAAGGGTCCGGTGAAGAGACCATGAAGGCTGCGCCGCCATGGTCGTCTGCAGGGGCGTCACCACCCTGGCCTTCGCCTCGTCCTGCTCCGCCCTGGCCTTCGCCTCGTCCTGCTCCGCCCTGGCCTTCGCCTCGTCCGGCTCCGCCCTGGTCACCGGCCCAGTCTGGTCCGCCCACGCTCTGCGGCCCTCCATCCCTCCCCCAAGACCGCCTGTGCTTCACCGCCCTCCTGAACTTTTTGGTTTTTTTTTTTGGTTTTGTTGGGCGTCAGGAGCCGCCCTTAAGGGGGGGGGGTTATGTCATAATGTGGGTCTTGTGTCCTGTCATGTTTAGTGTCATTAGTGTCTTGTCATTAGTTGTCCCAGGTGTTTCTTGTTATCCACGCCCCCTTGTTATCCTGTCTGCTCGTTTGTCTCTGATTATTTAAGCCCTGTGTTTCTGCCCTGTCTTTGTCAGTTATTGAATGTATGAATGTATTTACGAGTGTCTTGCCTGTTCTGAGTTTTCCCTAGTTTGTATTATTAAAGTCTGCTGCTGCATTTAGATCCGACTACCGCCTTTGCTTCCACGCAATTCATGACAATAATGTAAACTTTGGAAAACAAAATAGACAATTATCACATAAAACAAATATGAACAAACTAAAATAACTCAAATGTTTGGTACAAAAAATGATATGACCCTTTTAAACAACTAAGAAAGCTATTTGTTATTTGAGGTCAGTGTACTCACTGTAGAGCAGGATATGACTTTGATTTCCTCCAGGGCTTGCGACAGACAGTCTTCAATCTCGCTGTCATCCAGAGAGAAGAGGTCTCCTGCACGGGACAGGTCTCTCTGTCCCAACACTAGACGGAACAGCTGGTGCATTCTGGGAAAGGCTCAAGCTAGGGCAAGCTGCCCCTGCTGCCCTGTGTTACCACGATGACTTGACATGCTCTTTTAAGTGTCAGGGGAACCGCCAAGTACATATGCATCAAACCAACACCAACGACCTGAGACAGAGAATGGAGACAAAGGGAAAGTTGGAGAGAGGAATTTACTGGTACCACTTTCTGAGGAAGTCTACTATAATCAACAACTATTTCGTTTGTCTTACTAACATTTATCCTGAGACCGTTTTTATCACTCCAGTCCCCAAAACTCTCTATTAGCTCCCTATAAGACATGGGAGACATTTAGGGGGAGATATATAGACATTTCGCTATACTAAAAGTCAGGTATACAGGATAATGGCAAGTCCCTACGCTTGTTTCTCGGTCCAGACTGATCTCATGAAATGGCGTATGTATGACACGCCAATTCATATTTCCATTTTTGGCGTGCTATCAACACGCATAATCGCTTTTCAGCGTGTTTATCAACGCCGTTGACTTAACGTTACATTACTGTATGAATAAATATATGACCTACCCCAACCCCGTCCCTAAACCTACCCGTCACTGGGGTTAATACCATTTATGAGTGTTCCCCTACCATCCTAGGAAAAAAAATATTGCTCCACAGATGTAAATATACATTTAACGGCGTACACATACACGCGGAATCACTCGGACATTTAATGGCGTAGACATACACGCAAAAGATGACGGTTAGTTTCGGCGTGGACATACACGCGGATAGCTCAAAATGCGTATAGATAACACGCCACTTGACTTGAAAGTGGCGTGTATGTTTACGCAAAGTCATGATGTCATGTTGCTCGGTCGTAGTACAACATATGACATAGAAAACATACAGTACAATAGTGCAATAGTAAACAACTGTAAAATTGTCTTGGTATAATCTGATAGTGTGTAGGTGTCTGTGTGTATCAGTATGCTATATTAACCAAGTAATTTTCAAAAGTCAAGCTAGTTATTATCATGAAGCCGGTGCATCGCATTCAGTCTCTTGTACATTATGTTACTGTTTTGGTTGATGATGGCTCGCGTCATGAGCGTGAGCATGAGCAATAATTAGCTGGCTGCAGTTCACTTAATGGCCACCAGTGTCTGTCATTAATAACAAGGGTTTCTGAATCCTCCATATGGCCCCTTGAAGGTCACCTTGAAATTTCTCCTTTTGCTTTCCACAGGGAAAAACAGCATACAGATTAGACAAGACATCAAGGTAAATAAATAAAGTAAGGATTTTAATTTTCATTATTTCTTTAAGATATTTTGCGTGTGTAAAAAAAAAGGCTTATGCCTCAGTCTAAAGTGAACCTGGGTGGAATTCCAGGCTGTCAGGCTTCTTGTTAGTGACATTTTTTTTCTTCTTCAGAAAACAATTCTGCCAGTGTTGCCTTCGGAATTCGAAGTGAAGCAAAACCTCTGTTAATCTGTGACGTGTTAAACCTACCTGCAGGACTTCATCATTCATTAAAGAGTGTAAAATGTCACACTTTTAGTCAAACTCTTGAACATGCAGACAAGAATCACTGCAAGAAATATGAAGTTTGGTCATGTCTGAGGAAGAGACTTTGATTAGTGAAGTAGTTTGATCGGTCATTATAATCAGCCAGATAATCTCAGTTATACTGCAAGTTATTCCGAGTACCATAATATAACCCTGCTGAAAAATCCAGCATTGCTGGTCACCAGCATAGGTTATGTTTTGTACGCTGGTCACCAGCATAAGGTATGTTTTGTACGCTGGTCCCCAGCATGGGATGCTGGTTTAACAAGCAGAATCACCGAAGACAAGAGTGACACACTACAACTGAATTACAGCCACACAGCCTTAGATGAAATCAACTGCAAATAAAATCAATATCTCACCAGAGGAGGATTAAACAATTCCAAAAACAGCATTACCATATTCACTTATTACAAACCAGTTTGGCTTTATTTATTTCATATGGTACATGTACAAAGGTTGTTGAAGCCCTTTAGTTGGGCACTTGGCCATTGACCTTGGTTGAATTAATTATCTTTCAGCAATTGTTGAAAGTGCATGCTACTACTGCACACTACTGTGAAATAATCTGTATTGTAAAAAGCACTACATAAATAAATGTGACTACTGACAATATCACTATCACCACTATTCCACACTCCTGACTGCAATGGCATACCTTTTACTATGTGCACTTTTTGGAATCAGTGAGTTCCCAAATGAGAACGAAAGTCTTTAAAAACAGCAACTTTCAGTTGTCATGACTCATGTGTCATGGAGTTCATTCATGAAGTTGTGTGAACAACACATCATCCGTGTATTACATGCCTGTTTTATTGCGATTAAAATCAGCATACAACACATAGTTTAATGCAAATATGATTACTACGATTATGAGCTTACCGGTAATCGCATTAGTTTGATCGAAGTATTGTGTTTACATTAGGTCAAGTTTAATTGCAATATTGCCAAAATCCCATTATAATCACATTATGAGGGTGCATGTAAGCGCACTGATTGATTAATAATGTAATCATAACTAAAACAATGAATTTTTTAAATAAATTACAAAGTTATAATCAAATAATTCAATAAATCATGTTTTAACCTTATATTGTTTTTCCTTTACATCATTAGTGTGTGAAATACACAAAATATGCAAGCAAAAACAATTCTTGCCCCCAAAATACTGATTGCATTTAGAGAGCTGGCCTACTCAGAGTCAACCCTGCAAGACCATGCTGATGAACTAATTTCACCAGCTCCGTTTTGCTCGAGAACAGCATGAACATGCTGGTTCACCAGCTAGACCAGCACTAACAAGCATAAACCAGCCTAGACCAGCATGGAATTGTTGAATTTTCAACAAGTTACAAAATTGGCTTTCCTATACTGCTATCTCCAGTATGAAAGGGCAAGATCCAGAATATTCTGTTGCCAGAGATTCCATTTTCAGTGAATACTGACGAGACTCAGCAATGGACAAAAATCTGGCAATGGAAATAAAACTTACAAAGAAAATTTCCCTGTTTTGGGCCTCTTGTTTGTTCTAACATCAGTCACTAATTCAAACAGATCATAGGTCCTGCCAATCAGAAGGCACTATGGGGCAGACAGCCAATGGTATGTGACAGTCGTTGAAAAGGCAACAGCACAGCTGCACTTCACAGCCTGTCCTCGCATTCCAGATCTGAGCATTGCTAGGATACCACAGCAAGAACGCTCACAGACCCAGACAACTAATACATAAATACCCAGCTAACAAAAATATGTTCTAAGAATGTTTTTCTAACGTTCCCATTAAGAAATAAAAAAATAAAAAAAAACGTCCAGTTAAAAAAAAAAAAAAAATCATCCTTTTTCTTGGTTATGCAAACATTAAGGGAACGTTCCATTTTATCATTTTGCAAACATTATAGGTCCCAAGCTCTGATGGCCACAGAGTCTGGTCTACTGGGGGCGCCAGGCATCATGAGCTACCCCAGAGTCCTCACACATCATGCCTGCCACCAGATCCTTCTCGGGTCCACCACTGATTGTCGGGGGGGCGAGCAGCCAGCATCCCAAGACCTACGGTCTCAAGCCCACCGGCCTCATCGCCCTCAAGCCTGCCAACCTCAGCACTGTCTGTCCCGGAGGTTGATCCATTGTCCACAGTGCTCTCTGTGACAGCGACAATCATTTTCTGTGTTTGGGCTGCACACACCTCCTTGATTCCCCCGAGGCGGCAACATATGGGGAGGCCACTTCTGAACTCTCTGTATCCCCTGACGGCTCTACTATGGCCACAGAGGCTGACACTGAACTCCCTGCCTGCCCTGTTATGACCATGGTGATCTTCCTAGTAATCCCTGCCTGCCTTATGGCCACGGAGGCCACTACTGATTTCCCAGCCCGTTTCGTCTCAGCCAGAGTGGCTGTTCCAAGTTCTCCTGTCTCGTTTGCTACACTGTGGTGGTCTCCAGTTCCACCTGATCTTCCCTGGTGGTCTTCTGCTCTGCCATGGTGGTCCTGATTGCTGGTCACCAGCCCTGTCTGCCCTGCTGTGGTGGTCTTCTGCTCCACCATGGGGATCATCAGTCCCGTCTACTCTGTTGAGGTGGTCTTCTGTTCCGCTGTGGGAATCTTCAGTCTTGTCTGCACTGCTGTGGGGGTCATCTCCTCCACCATGGGGATCTTTAGTCCCATCTGCTCTGCTATGGTGGTAATCTGCTCAGATGTGGTGGTCCCTACCAGCGATCCCTGGCTGCCCACTCGGCCTGCTCCTGCGTGTTATCTTAAGCTTGTTTGCAACTGCATATAGCCCTTTTGTTTAACTTGTTCTCTGTCAGTTGTTGAATGTGATGCCCCCTTTTTTACGTTTGTTTTTGTTCCTTGTTCTCCGTGTTGCTTATTGTTTGTAAACTTGTTTCTTTATTAAAAACCCCTGCACTTAGATACATGCCTCGGTTACTAACGTAACCTCGGTTCTCTCTAGAAGAGGGAATGAGTGTTGCGGGAAAACCTCTTTTCTCGAGAATACTAAAGCCAAAAATTATCCTTATCATTTTGTATTAATTCAAAACGCGTTTGCTGCAGCAAATAGACCTAGGCGAGGCAGCTCACGCGCCTATTGCCTGCTCTGCGAGAACTGCTACAACCTATCGAGGGACTGCTCGTGACATAAGCACCAATGAGGGCGCTGGTTCCCTCAGTCGTCACGTCCCGCGCGAATGGGCGTGGCTTATGCCTATATAAGCCAGAGCGCGATAGGATGCGCCTTGGTTTTCATCAACTGAAGCGAAACCAGATGGTAGCACAAGCACAGCAGGGTTACGCAACACTCGTTCCTTCTTCCAGAGAGAACAGAGGTTATGTTAGTAACCGAGACGTTCTCTTACAAGAGTACTCTCGTGTTGCGTAAGCTAGCTTACGCTACGGGAATCCAATTTAAAACGCCATGCGTGCTAAATCTACCACAACACTGACCCAAGGGAGAGTGCCCTGAGCTCATATGATATGGGGATATAAAAGCCGACAGGGAGTGGGCTAATAAGAATGATAAAAGGCAACGTGGTTACCTAAAGTGAACAAGGGTGCTTAACACTGTATAACAGTCAGGGAAGGTATTAGT